TAAGAACAACAATAAAGGTTAGTCTGTGTGATTTGTACAAGTCCCTTAAGTTTAGTATTTTATTACTCTACCCTGGTAGCCCTGGACAATGAAAGAAAGAAAAAAAAATACCAGTTTAACCCAGGTTTTAACATTTGAGTTTAGGGTTAGTCAGAGTTACATGCTACCCAGAGAGTCCTCAAACATTACCAAAGGTGGCCCGGTTCAATTTGCAGCCATATAATAAAAACCAACTCAAACGCATTGCCATCAAGTTAATTCTGATTCATATTTATCCAATAGGACAGAGTAGAACTGCGCTCTAAGGTTTCGGCCACCACTTGTCTGTCAGTTTGTGGAACTGTGGTGGCTTGAATGTTGCTGTCATATTGGAAGCAATGTCACAGAACAAGGGAACGCTGCATGGTTTAAAATCAGGAAAGGTGTGCCTCAGGGTTGTGTCCTCTCATCACATTTGTTCAATCTGTATACTATGCAAATCATCAGAGAATCCAGTGTATATGAGGAAGAATATGGCATCAGGACTGGAGGAAGGCTTACTAAGAATCTGTGATATGCAGATGACACAACTCCAAATGCTGAAAGTGAGGAGGACTTGAAGCATCTGCTGATGAAGATCAGGAATCACAGCCTTCAATATGGATTATGACTCAGGGGAAAGAAGAACAAGATCCTCTCACCTGGAGCAATAGGTAACATCATGATAAATGGAGAAAGGACTTTAGTTGTCAGGGATTTTGTCTTGTTTAGATCCACAATCAGTACTCTTGGAAGCAACAGTCAAGAGATTAAAAAAAACTCATTGCATTAGATAAATCTGCTGTACAAGACCTCTTTAAAGTATTGAAAAGCAAAGATGTTACTTTGAGGGCTAAGAGGCACTTGATCCTAGCAATGGTATTTTCAGTTGTCTCATATGAATGTGAAAGTTGGAGTTTGAAAGAGAAAGATTTGATGCATTTGACTTTTGTTGCTGGAGAAAGATATTCAAAACACCACGAACTGCCAAAAGGACAAACCGATTGGTCTTGAAGGAATCATAACCAACGTGCTCCACAGAGGCAAGGATGGCAGGACTTTGTCTTACATGTTTTGGACATGCTGTCAGGAAAGACCAGTCCCCAGATAAGGACATCTCTTGGTAAAGTGTGGGGAAAGTGAAAAAGAGGAAGGCTTTCAATGAGATGGGCTCACACAGTGGCTGCAACAAGGGGCTCAGGCACAGGAACAACTGTGAGGATTCTGCGGGACGTGCGGTGTCTCATTCGTCCTGCATAGGGTTGCTATGGGTTGGAACTGACTTGATGGCACCTAACAACAACCAACTAGTGGAGATGACAGAACAACATTTGTCCAGGGATAAAGTTCAGAGGGCATGGCAAGAAAGGGAAGTAGCACAATGAAAATGGTAAACACAGGGAGCAAGTGTTTACATTGTGGAGACTATGGTCAGTCGTGAATCAAAATGTATATGAATTGTTGAATGGAAAACCAATTTGCTCTTTAATATTCACCTGAATCATTAAAAAAAAAGAAAGGAAGTAAAATAAAACACCAAGAAGTGGTACGTGTACTCCATGCTGTCAGGGAGCACTAATGTCTGGGGAGCCAGCTCCATCATCCACCTCTCAGTCAAGGCCCGCCCCATCAGGGTGACAGGGGAGCAAGAATTAGAACACTGCATGCCTCTCTCTTGTTATAGGAAAGGAGATCACAGTCAAGATGTTGAAGGCCAGTGAGAAAGAAGCAGAGTCATAGCAGAGAAGAAACTGTCCTGACTAAATAACTATATCCTGAGCATTTCTCACCTATATTGTAACCTGTTAGCGTCTCTGACAAACCCCATCATTGTGGACATCATCTGAGTTCTGTATGGCCCTTGAAAGATATTATATGAGGCAGCAGAAAAGTAGAGTGCAGTGGGAGAAAGAGCACATGGGTTTGATACCAAACTCACTGCCATTGAGTCAATACTGACTCATCGCGACCCTGTCGGACAAGGCAGAACTTCCCCTGTAGGTATCTGAGACTCTAACCCTTTACGGGAGTAGAAAGCCCTGTTTTTCTCCCTCAGAGCAGCTTGTGGTTTCAAACTGCTGACCTTGTAGTTAGCAGCCCAATGCATAACCACTATGCCACAAGGCTAAATGGTTTGATAGCAGTGGGCTTATTATAATTGATAAAACGTTCATATCTCCCCTCACTATGATCTGATTTAAAATGAATCATTTTAAATAATCACATATGAATAATAAAAAAAATCAGAAAGTAGTATGTATGCATGGGGGGGACTCCAAAAGTTCACGGGAATTTTCTATTTTAATTCCATTTATGCATATGTGCTTATTTTTATATATTCATTCATACATTGTTGATGTTAATGATTTGAAACTTATATTCAATTTTTAAAATAATGTTAATATGGGGGAACACCTTTGTTATAATAAACTGGGGTGACAACATTTCATTTTCTGTCCAGAATAGACCACATGTAAATACTGAGCCCAAGCTCCACTGATCAACTAAAATTGATGGCTAATAATTTAATTTTTAAAATTTAAATCATTTTATTGGGGGCTTTTACAGATATTCTAATAACCCATAAATTGATTATATCAAGCAAACGTGTACATATTTTGCCAGTCATTTTCAAAATATTATCTTTCTACGTGAGCCCTATTATCAGCTCTTCTTTTTTCTGCCCCTCCCCCACGCTCCCACCCTCGTGAACCCTTGATAAATTATAATAATTTAATCCTTCATATGGATTGTAACGCAATGTAAAGAAAATGAAAAGCCTCACAACTGGACCACGACATAACATCATGAGAAACAGAAAACACTGAAGTTGTTAAGGACTTCATTTTACTTGGATCCACAATCAGTGTTCATGGAAGTAGCAATCAAGAAATCAAATGTCACACAAGACCTCTTTAAAAGGTTAAAAAAACAAAGATCTCAGGGGGAGCGGGGAGGGAGGGGAAAAAATAAAGAGCTGATACCAAGGGCTCAAGTAGAAAGCAAATGTTTTAAGAATGATGATGGCAACAAATGTACAAATGTGCTTGAGTCAATAGAAGTATGTATGGATTGTGATAAGAGTTGTACGAGCCCCAATAAAATGATTAAAGCCCCCCAAAAAACAAAGATCTCACTTTGAAGACAAAGGTGCACCCACGCCATTGTATTTTCACTTGTCTTTCAATTACATCCAAAAGCTGGACAATGAATAAGTAAGACTGTAGAAGAATTGGTATATTTTAATTATGGTTTTAGAGAAGAGTATTAAAGAGTATAAAATATGCCAAAGATTGCCTTCACATCCCTGATTATATTGATTCCTAAGTAATTTGTTCTCTGAGACGCTATTGTAAGTGGAATTCTCTCCTTAATTTCCTTTTCAGATTTCTCATTGTTGGTGTATTACCTGACTGACTTTTGTTTGCTGGCCTTGTACCGTACAAGCTTCCTTCATTCCTTTATTAGTTCTAGAAGTGTTCTTATGGAGTCTTTGGGGTGTTTTGAACATCTGTGGGGCCCTGGTGACGTAGGTACATAGTAATTATGCTGCTCATGCAAGAGCAGCAGTTTGAAACCACTCACGAGATAAACAAGGCTTTCTAGTCTCATAAAGGGTTACAATCTTGGAAACTCACAGAGGTAGTTCTACTCTGTCCTGTAGGGTTACTATGAACCAGCATCAAGTTAACGTCAATGAGTTTGCGTTTTGAAGGTTATTTATTTATTTAGGTTTGTAAGGGCATGTTATCCACATGATGAAAGATTTTTTGTTTGCTTTGTTTTAGTTAAAAGACCATTTTATTGCGCGCTCTTACGGCTCTTGTAACAATCCACACATCAATTGTATTAAACATATTTGTACATATGTTGCCATCGTTATTTTCTAAGAAAAGTGTATTTTTAAATACAAAAATAGAAGAGAAATCAAGCCAAGTGTTTTTTTCAATATTTGCTAGTTTTAAGGCAATTCTCTTTTGATTTCATTCTCTGGGACAGGGAACAATTCACATCGTACTAACAGAAATACTATTATAAGATCACTCTTTCTTAGAATTCACTCTACCCTCTATTATAAGTAAGCCATACAAACCACCATAAAATCAAGGGCTTGTGTGTTCAAACCTGTTCAAAATTTTTTCTTTTAATTTCATCAAGTCTCAGGCACCACTTTTTACAAGCCCCTGGAAGTAGAGAAGGTGGCCTGGAAGATATATGCGGATGGTAGATAACAGGCTGATAGAAAACTATTTTTTTACTTAGCAACTAC